CCCTGGGACGAACCCTATTGAAATTGGGAAAAAACGGTACAGATTTAGATATAGCTCCCATATATATATTCGTCCGATTTCATGTAAAAAGTCCCTATATATCTTCCGAATTGCACGAAATTTGGCACATCGTAATGAATTAGGCCTAGAATGATGTGTGCTGAGTTTCATTAAAATCGGTTCAGATTTAGATATAGCTCCCATATATAGTTTCGTCCGATTTTATGTAAATGGTACACCAAAGTCCCTATATATCTTTCGATTTGCACGAAATTTGGCACAGCGTAATGAATTAGGCCTAAAATGATGTGTGCTGAGTTTCATGAAAATCGGTTCAGATTTAGATATAGCTCCCATATATAGTTTCGTCCGATTTCATGTAAATGGTGCCCCAAAGTCCCTATATATCTTTCGATTTGCACGAAATTTTGCATAACGTATTGAATTAAGACTAGAGTGATGTCTGCCAAGTTTCGAGAAAATCGGTCCAGATTTAGATATAGCTCACATATGTAGTTTCGTCCGATTTCATGTAAATGGTGCACCAAAGTCCCTATATATCCTTCGATTTGCACGAAATTTGGCATAACGTATTGAATTGAGCCTAGAATGATGTCTGCCAAGTTTCGAAAATCGGTCCAGATTTAGATATAGCTCCCATATATAGTTTCGTCCGATTTCATATAAATGGTGCACCAAAGTCGCTAGATATCTTTCGATTTGCACGATATTTGGCATAACGTACTGAATTGAGCATAGAGTGATGTCTGTCTGCCTTGTTTCGTGAAAATCGGTCCAGATTTAGATATAGCTCCCTTTTATTATAGATTGATTTAAAGTAATTGACGCACCAAGGAACCAATAGGCTGATCAGAACAAAACGTTCTGAAATTACTGTAACCTAACCTGTGACATGTTTGTTTGAAATCGCTTAATATTTGGATAGAGCATCCATATATATTTTCGTCCGATTTCAAGTAAATTGGGCATCAAACTCCTCATGTAGTCAGATTGACATCAAATTTTGCACAACATACAAAATTGAGCATAGAATTACATAGTTGCGTTTTCTAGAAATACAGACATAGCCCAACGGATGACCTATTTATATTTGTTTGAAGTCGATTTACATACTTTATGGATAGATCTAGGTAGATTCACATTTAGATAAATATCACATATTTTATTTCATCCAATTTCATGTTAATAGTCCTGTTTAATATACCCATAGTGGTGAAGGGTATCATATAGTCGGCCCCGTCCGACTTTACTACTTTCCTTACTGGTTTTTTTGGGATGGACTCGAGTTAGAAAAAAACGGACAAAGCTGACAAGAACGACAAACGAATAAAGTCTTTGCAAGTCGAGTTAATGCAACTTATTGGCGTTTTGTATCCTTCGTAAGGATCCCGTCGAAAAATCATTACGTCGACATCAATACATACCACGATTTTACTCTTTACTGTCACGGCATATAAGTCCATAAGTAATGACTGCAACTTTCCTTCAAGGCTAACATAAACATCTTCAGGGCATCTTCTAGTTTCCTGTTGCTATATGTCCACCATGTTCCACCATGGCACTTCTTCTTGTCTTATTTTCTTCAAATCTCTCTAAGCCTTAGAATCAATGCCGGTTTCGCACTGTTCAATTGTGGTAATATCTCCAACATCATTTAAATTCCTTTTTCACTTATTTAAGTCTTTAACCATCATCCTTTCAAAAATGTATTCGATAGCTATAGATCGGTCAGGACTTAGAAGTCTTCTCCTCGACCAATGAACTTTGGCTTTTCATTGTTGCTATTCACTTTTCTGCAACTGTTCTATCCATCGTTCAAAAAATACTGGACCGTATTTTACTTTTTTTGGACTGATATTATATCCAGTTAAACAGACTTTCAGTGTATGTTCTTTGTGACCGGATCCGTAATTTCAGTAATATCATCTATAGCATTGAGCCTTTTTTCTTACTCGATCGTTGTCAGTGGCGGCCTTTAAATAGATTTACTAATATCAGAGAAACGGTTTTATAGATATATTACTTCTGCTTGAGCAAAACATATTTGAGGAGGTCTTGTCGAAGTATTAGAATCAACTTTTCTACTTCGTACATTTCATATTTAGCGCTTTTTACAATCAAATTGGATATATTTTTCTTAGAATTACCAAGTGACTGTAATTTGGCAATATGGAGTGCCAAGAATTTATTCAAACAACATGTTTGCAATATAAGTCCATATTTTTTCATATCCCACACATAAAGGCCACAAAGCGTAATTTTCGGTAAGCTCAAGGTTCTAGTTAAATTTTTTTAACCGTAGTGTCTGTAGTTTGGTATTTCGATTCCTTCTGGCAGACATTTACTATGGCATAGACCCCGCTATATATATGTGCCGATCGATTAGAGATATTTCGAACGTCCACCTAATTGTGGAGGATGTAAAAGTAGGGTTGTCAATGCGGAATGAACTACTTCAAAGGAATCAACGGTACTAGGTCCGATTCTTTTATTCATATAAATTGTTCATTTAGTTTTCCGCTCTTATTTAATAAGCTGGCTCGAGACAGAACATTTGTTCCATAAGCCGAACACAAGTCCTTTGATATGTGATCTTCCACTTGATTTTTCCATCGAATTCGTCATCTTCCCCTTCGGCATGAACCATCAGTAGCTTAGCTTTTATATGGTCTAGAAACCGTAGTTGCTGTAGCTCGATGTCCCTGTATAGATGGTACAACTCACGTCGACGCAGATCGGCCCGGAGATCTTTCGGATAATTTTTCTCTCAAACACTCCAAGAGGTGCCTCATCTGCTTGGGCAGGTACCCATTCTTCTGATCCATATACCAGCACGGGTAGTATCAGCGTCTTGTAGAGTGTGAGTTTGGTCCGGTTAGAGGAGGCCAATGTCCCTGTATAGATTGTACAACTCACGTCGACGCAGATCGGCCCGAACATCTTTTGTTACATAAGTCCTTTGATATGTGATCTTCCACTTGATTTTTCCATCGAATTCGTGATCTTCCCCTTCGGCATGAACCATCAGTAGCCTAGCTTTTATATGGTCTAGCCACCGTAGTTGCTATAGCTCGATGTCCCTGTATAGATTGTACAACTCACGTCGACGCAGATCGGCCCAAACATCTTTCGACTAATTTTTCTCTCAAACATTCCAAGAGGTGTATCATCTGCTTGCGCAGGTACCCATTCTTCTGATCCATATACCAGCATGGGTAGTATCAGCGTCTTGTAGAGTGTGAGTTTGGTCCGGTGAGAGGAAGCCTTCTAACATCTGTTGCCCAATACCATCCTTCACCGAATCTCAAAACTGATATCATTAATAATTATTATACCCTACACAACTATGTTGTCAGGGTATTATAGCTTTGTGCAGCCCCAAAAGTTTGTAACGCCGCGAAATATTGGTCCTAGACCCACCTTTAAGTATACGTCCGTCCGTCCGTCTGTCCATTATAATTTGTAAACACGATACAGGCCACAGTTATGGACCAATCTTCACGAAATTTTGCATGTAGGATGGGTTCTGGCCAATGAAGACCCCTATTGTTTTTGGGAAAGATCGGTTAATTTTTAGGGGATGAAATGGACCAAATACTAAATTTTTTTCGGTTTTTCTGGTCGCTCCAGAGGCCGCAATAATGGCTCGAACATCTTGAAATTTTGCATGGAGAAGGGGATCAGGCCAAAGAATAAGCATGCATGTTTTGATAAAGATCGGTCAATATTTAGCGGGTCAAATGGACCCTGACTTTTGTGTGAAAAATGACAAAATGTGTATTCTATGGCATATATATTTACCCCTGAAGGACATATACCAGAGAAGTTGATATTATATCCAAGAGGAGTGGTTGACCTTTAAATTAAGACCAAATATATTGTTGTATGTGCTCGGATGAGGGAGATACACCTAAATATTTACAGGTATCTCCGTATTTGTATATTATTTAGTAACCCATTATCACTCTGGAGAGCTGAACTATAGCGCTGATCGCTTTGAAATGTTCCATGAGGTTCCAGTTATGGTCAAGGACAACGCCTATAATTTTCGGTGATGATCAGATAATAATTTTGGAATGAAGTGGACCGAAAACTTAATTTTTTGTGTTATTTTCGAGTTGATCTATAGACCACAAATGAAAGCCGAATATCACAACACAACCCACGGTGAAGGGAATCTGGACAATAGCTGTACTGAATACTCGTAATATTCGGAAAAGTGTGAGGAAGAGGTGCTGTTTACCTCTAATCGGGCAAGAGGGTGCAAATATCACGAAATATTGCCCAGGCTCGGAATAAACATCCGAAAAAAAATTGAGTTCCGTGGTAGTTGTGTAGGGTATCGTATGGTCGGCCCCGTCCGACTATACTGCTCCGCTCACTGGTTGATAATATATATTTCATACTATCTCAAGGCAAATGAGGATAATTTTGGAGAGATTTTTGGGAGCTAATAGATAGCGTTCCCAGCATAATTTACCATTATTCCCCCGAATTAATTGAACGTTTATAGCCATGAGCATTTTATTGTCACCTCATTTTCTTAAAAACATTCAGTTCCTTGCCACGTGATATCCTCCCTTCAAAGAAACCACAATTCTCTTTTTTTTTGTAAAACACCCATACCTTTAACCTTAAAAAAACTCCCGCCATGTAGTAGGTCAACTAGCATGGTCGGCAGACCCTGTGTCAGTGATTATTATTTAATATGCAAGTCAAATACGATACGATAAAGGAAACTTTAATGCATTTTTAGTGTTTCTTGTCTTGTTCGATTTCTCACGTTATATTTTCTTCGCGTTTTGGTTCCGTTCCGTTCGGCTATGCCATTTAGACGGTTAACCTTTAACCTCGTCATAGTGTAGAGTATATAAAACTACAAACTAGAAGAACAACAGCTTTTACACTTGTATGACTTCTTGTGTATTTATTCCTTCATTTTTTATTCTGTGTGTGTGTGTTTTTTTTTTTCTTTATAGGAATGTCCTGAAGGTGTGGTACACGAAGACTGTTTCAAGGATATTTATGCAAAATTTTTTCCACATGGCAGTAAGTAAATCATCATAAAAACACAATAATATGACGATTTTATGGCTCTTTGCTCTTTTACCCTTAACTAACAACACAAAAGGACCCAACAACAGATACCAAAAGCAAAAATTCCGACCAAAACAGAAAACCATTTAAAATATTCGCCAAACGGAAAAATGTGTCTCCCCCGTGTTTTTTGTTTTGAGTTTTTATTTTGGCAATAGCTCTTCGGCTGGCTGGCTGTTGGCAATTTAAAGAACATCATTTGTTCGGGAATGGGCCAACAGCCATCCACGAAGTGAGTAGTGCTAGAGGTTCATGCTTTATCTATCTTTCAACAATGTTTAAGAGCAAAAACCGAACATATTTTTTCCTTTTCTAACGTTTAACGTATTTTTTATCACTTTTCTCTCTTCCCCTTTTAAATTTGCTCCACATTTTTTATAGATTCAAGTTTATACGCTCATTATGTGTTCAAAGCATTCGATGTTAACTGCAATGGTGCCATAAGTTTTCGGGTAATATACAAAAATACAACAATTTTCATGCTTGCCATTTATTCTCTTTCTTTTTTTGTTGTTACAATTTTTTATTTTTTTACAATTCAAAATAATTTTGACATTAATTGTCCTCTCGTTTTGTGTTTTTTCTGCTCCTCCAGGATTTATTGGTTACGTTGTCCACATTATTAAGAGGTTCGGTTTATGAACGTCTCCGCTGGACATTTAAATTGTACGACTTAAATGGTGACGGACGCATCAGTCGTTCGGAACTAAGTGAAATAATAATGGCCATTCATGAGCTGATGGGTCGAAGAGCACACCAGCCAGAGGATGACCGAAAAGCAAGAGATCAGGTGAGTGAAAAGGATGTTAATTAAAATATTTAATTATTTTTCAATATTGAAATTAAAGAGGTATTGGATTGGAGTGCATTAAGTGAGCATACAAAGGATTCGGATTGATGTTCGAACAGATTCATATTAGCGACATATTAAGAGAATAAAATAAATAGAAAGTTAAGCAAACGATCTGTTTGGCTCTTCTATTAAGAATTTTATAACCTTTGACTGCGTTCAAACTAGAGCCTTCACCCCGATTTAAAATGAAATGCATTATCTCGATTTTCTAAGATATGTCGAGATAATTTCAAAGACAACCCTACTTTTGCGCAAAAAAAAACACTTATAATTTAAACCAGTAAGGAAAGTAGTAAAGTCGGACGGGGCCGACTATATGATACCCTTCACCACTATGGGTATATTAAACAAGACTATAAAAAAATTGATGAAATAAAATATGTGATATTTATCTAAATATGAATCTACCTAGATCTATCCATAAAGTATGTAAATCGACTTCAAACAAATATAAATAGGTCATCCGTTGGGCTATGTCTGTACTTCTAGAAAACGCAACTACGTAATTCTATGTTCAATTTTTTAAATTGTGCAAACTTTGATGTCAATCTGACTAACATGAGGAGTTTGATGCCCAATTTACTTGAAATCGGGCGAAAATATGTATGGAAGCTCTATTCAAATATTAAGCGATTTCAAACAAACTTATCACAGGTTAGGTTATACTAATTTCAGAACGTTGTGTTCCTATCAGCCTATTGGATCCTTGCTGCGTCAATTACGTATAATCAATCTATAATAAATGGGAGCTATATCTAAATCTGGACCGATTTTCAGTACGTTATGCCAAATTTCGTGCAAATCGAAAGATATATAGAGACTTTGGTGAACCATTTACATGAAATCGGACGAAACTATATATGGGAGCTATATAGAAATCTGGACCGGTTTTCTCGAAACTTGGCAGACATCATTCTAGGCTCAATTCAGTACGTTATGCCAAATTTCGTGCAAATCGAAAGATATATAGGGACTTTGGTGCACCATTTACATGAAATCGGACGAAACTATACATCGAGCTATATCTAAATCTAGACCGATTTTCTCGAAACTTGGCAGACATCATTCTAGGCTCAATCCAATACGTTATGCCAAATTTCGTGCAAATCGAAAGATATATAGGGACTTTGGTGCACCATTTACATGAAATCGGACGAAACTATATATAGGAGCTATATATAAATCTGGACCGATTTTCTCGAAACTTGGCAGACATCATTCTAGGCTCAATTCAGTACGTTATGCCAAATTTCGTGCAAATCGAAAGATATATAGCGACTTTGGTGCATCATTTACATGAAATCGGACGAAACTATATATGGGAGCTATATCTAAATCTGGACCGATTTTCCCGAAACTTGGCAGACATCTTTCTAGGCTCAATTCAGTACGTTATGCCAAATTTCGTGCAAATCGAAAGATATATAGCGACTTTGGTGCACCATTTACTTGAAATCGGACGAAACTATATATGGGAGCTATATCTAAATCTGGACCGATTTTCACGAAACTTGGCACACATCATTCTAGACCTAAATGATTAGGCTGTACCAAATTTCGTGCAAATCCAAAGATATATAGGGACCGTTTACATTAAATCGGTTAAATATATATATGGGAGCTATGTCTAAATCTGAACCGATTTTTCCCAATTTCAATAGGGTTCGTCCTTGGGCCAAATAAGTGACCTGTGCCAAATTTCATTCAAATCGGATCATAAATGCGACCTGTACTTTGTTTACAATTTAACATCTACAGACGGACGGACGGACATGCATAAATCGACTCAGAAAGTGATTCTATGCATATTCTCAAAAGGAACCATGTGTCTATCTCGTTTCCTTTTGCCTGTTACAAACATATGCACAAAGACATAATACCCTGTACCACAGTGTGGTGAAGGGTATAAAAAGTAAATTTTAAGCAATTGCGCAGTATTTTGCAAAATCTTACTGGATGTTGTCGGTTTACTATTCTCAGTATTATTGCAAAAGAGAATAAACCGGCTTACTCTCTGAAATATTACTTAAACCAGCCAGAATTTTTCGAAAATTTTAATCACATTCACACATTTTCACATTTTGCTTGTAGGATGGGTTCTGGCCAATAAAGACCCCTATCATTCTAGGCTCAATCCAATACGTTATGCCAAATTTCGTGCAAATCGAAAGATATATAGGGACTTTGGTGCACCATTTACATGAAATCGGACGAAACTATATATAGGAGCTATATATAAATCTGGACCGATTTTCTCGAAACTTGGCAGACATCATTCTAGGCTCAATTCAGTACGTTATGCCAAATTTCGTGCAAATCGAAAGATATATAGCGACTTTGGTGCATCATTTACATGAAATCGGACGAAACTATATATGGGAGCTATATAGAAATCTGGACCGATTTTCCCGAAACTTGGCAGACATCTTTCTAGGCTCAATTCAGTACGTTATGCCAAATTTCGTGCAAATCGAAAGATATATAGCGACTTTGGTGCACCATTTACTTGAAATCGGACGAAACTATATATGGGAGCTATATCTAAATCTGGACCGATTTTCACGAAACTTGGCACACATCATTCTAGACCTAAATGATTAGGCTGTACCAAATTTCGTGCAAATCCAAAGATATATAGGGACCGTTTACATTAAATCGGTTAAATATATATATGGGAGCTATGTCTAAATCTGAACCGATTTTTCCCAATTTCAATAGGGTTCGTCCTTGGGCCAAATAAGTGACCTGTGCCAAATTTCATTCAAATCGGATCATAAATGCGACCTGTACTTTGTTTACAATTTAACATCTACAGACGGACGGACGGACATGCATAAATCGACTCAGAAAGTGATTCTATGCATATTCTCAAAAGGAACCATGTGTCTATCTCGTTTCCTTTTGCCTGTTACAAACATATGCACAAAGACATAATACCCTGTACCACAGTGTGGTGAAGGGTATAAAAAGTAAATTTTAAGCAATTGCGCAGTATTTTGCAAAATCTTACTGGATGTTGTCGGTTTACTATTCTCAGTATTATTGCAAAAGAGAATAAACCGGCTTACTCTCTGAAATATTACTTAAACCAGCCAGAATTTTTCGAAAATTTTAATCACATTCACACATTTTCACATTTTGCTTGTAGGATGGGTTCTGGCCAATAAAGACCCCTATTGTTTTTGTCAGTTTTTCTGGTCGCTCCAGAGGCCGCAATTATGGTCTTACATGGAGAAGGAGGTTGGGCCAAAGAATAAGCATAGCTGTTTTGATAAAGATCGGTCTATATTTAACGAGTCAAATGGACCCTGACTTTTGTGTGAAAAATTACAAAATGTTTTTTTTGGGCGTATATATTTACTCCTGAATCATATATTTACAGGTGCTTACGTATTCAGATATTATTTTATAACCCATTACAACATTAGAGGGCGGAAATATTGCGCTGATCGCTTTGACATTTTCCATGAACTTTCAGTTATGGTCAATGACAACGCCTACATTTTTCGGGGATGATCAGATTAAAATTTTGGGATGAAATGGACCGATTTTTTTCATTTTTTTTTGTGTTTTCGAGTCGAATATAGTCCGAACATAACAACACAACCCACCGTGAAGGGAATCTGGACAAGTTATTTGAAGGGCTGTACTGAATATTCGAAAATGTAAGGAAGAGCTGCTGTTGACCTCTTATCGGGCAAGTGGGGGCAAATATCACGAAATATTACCCAGACTCAGAATAAACATCCGCAGAAAGTTAGAGTTCCGTGGTAGTTGTGTAGAGTATCGTATGGTCGGCCCGTCCGACTATACTGCTCCGCTCTGTGAACGCCTTCCGAACTGCAGCTCTAAGAAATTGAGCAGTCCATCACCGCCGATTTTTGCAATAAAATCTTTCTGCCAATCTTCCAAATGCTAGGTGGGACTTAGTAAATGTTACTGAAAAAGAAACCAGACACAACTATTATTGTACCATTGAAATGTGTATGTATACGTAAACAAATAATAGCTGGCTGTCAAACATTATATCATTTCAATATGTAGTAGTCTAAACGGCTAGGATTTTATTCCTCGATTTAGAAGGTCTAAACGCAAATTTATAATCTTTGGGCAGTCGTTCGTAATCTACATAATGCAACAAATAATAAGGTTATGTATCAAAACAAAAACATCTGCTTTTTATTCGACCATCTGTCAAATTTTATCTAGTAATATTTCTCATGGTTGGCAACGTTCAAGTACAGACCATGGCACAATAGCTGTCAAAGTTTTAACACAGATTTATTTAGAAAATGTTTATAAAAGTATTGCCGAACAAATCTTAAAAATTCGGAGATTTTCATTTATAATTCTCATTCTTATTTTTTGGTTTTTAAATTACAACAACATTTCATAAATTTATTTATACCAACAGCTGGGCCAATGTGGCAACGTCACTAAATATACATTGGTGCATTATTTCTACTGAATTAAATGTGCAATGTTGCCAACCATGAGAAAGATACAATTTGACAGATGATCGAATAAAAAAACTGATTAGTTCTTCACCATGCTGAAGTTGGAAAATCTCAACGGAAAATAGCTGAAATACTCAATATTACTCGATCTAAAAAATGATATTGAGGCGTAAAACCGAGACTCAAATATCTACCAAACCGAAAACCAACGAGAAAAACTATTCAGTGACGAGAAGTGGTTGATCCGACAAGTGGCCGATAATCCAAAGCTAAGTGTACCTAGGGATAAGTAAATCGACTTTTTGTATTGAAATGTCTAAAAGTCAAAGTCGACTTTTGATCTGTGAGAACTCGAAAAGTCGACTTTTTAGTCAAAGGCAAAAATCGAAAAGTCGACTTTATGATCTATGGCAAAAATCGAAAAGTCTTAAAGTTGAGTTTCGCGCTCGTCTACGTATCCCTAAGTGCACCTAAACTTGCTGAAATCGCACAGAAATGTCTGGAAAAGAAATGTAACCTAGAAACAATTCGAAACCAAAAAAAGAAAAAAAAACCGGAAAATCCGATTGGAGTTTGTTCAGGAACATGAAAAAAGTATTTTGCATTTTGAAAATCTGTTATTTTTGCTGATGAAAGCAAATTTAATTGTTTGTGTCGGCACAATTCCAGCCGTAAAGCACTGAGGAGGCTCGGTAATGTTTTGGGACTGTTTGGTCGCTGCCGGAGTAGGAAATTTCGTTTTATTGAAGGAATTATGGATAAAATTTATTTTTTTTAACAATCTAAAAGATAATTTGAAATATAGTGCTGAAAAATTGGGATTGGCAATAATATTTCAATGTTACCAACATTTTGTTATCTCTATAATAACCCCAAACTCAAGTCCCAGATCGTTCGAGAATGAATGCTTTATAATTACCCAAAGTGATTCAAACATATCCTCAGTTCCCGGATTTGAATGATATTTGGAGAAAAATATTAGAAGCCATAATAACTCAAGCATACCAAGTCTGAAAAATGCTTTACAAGTAGAATGGGGAAAAATCAGACATCTTAGACGGAAAACTTGGTAAAATTTATGTCGGCAAGGTTGAAAGCTGTAAAAGATTTTTGATAAACATGCACTTATGGCAATTGGATACTTTTGACTCACTGTAGAACGATGAGCATCACAGAAATCCTACGTACCATGTACCATTTGGTATGTTGTAGGTTAAACTTTCATGCCTGTAATTTCGTTATAGCAATCGTTATCTTTATAAGAGTCTCGATCGATTTAAGATATTTTGAAATACCAACTCGTGGTGGAGGATATCAAAATGTCAGCCCATTTTTTTACATGTTTAGATAGGAAAACATAACCTATATATGAAATATTTTAATTTATTATTTCCTATTTTCCTTTTCCAGGTCGATCGAGTCTTCCGCAAATTGGATTTAAATCAAGATGGTATTATAACAATCGAAGAATTCCTGGAGGCATGCCTTAAGGATGATCTGGTTACAAGATCGCTACAAATGTTCGATAATGACCTTTGATGACCGGCTGCTGCCGATTATGATATACGAAACAATCGCAATACCGTTTCTTTAATAGATCTTTAAGGAGAATAATAACAACAACAAACATAGAAACAACAACAATTTATTAGTAATTATTAATGAAAACAAAAAAGAAGAAGCAGAACAACAAAACCCCTTAATAAAAAAACTTGTTACTTAAAGTAAGTAAAACTAAAATTAAAAACAAATAAAACAAACATAAAAATTGACAACAAAATTAGTAACAACAAGAACACGAAATAAAAAGAGAGCTCATACACCAGTTACAACAACAAATTAATTAGGTCCTCAATTTTATTTTTGTTGAATTTTGTATTCAAAAGTAATTGACTCAAAATGTTTTAGATTTAAAAATAAATAAAATAATAAACAACAAAACCCGTTGCAAATTGGTAATAAAATAGTGTAAAATAAAAAAAATACACACACATAAAAAAATAATCCTGCCATAAATTCTTAAATTGAAACCCGAAGACAAGAGGAAATAATAAAATAAAAAACACAAGAAAGAAAACTAAATACTCCCCAAAGGAATTTGGCCAAATGCAATTAGCCAAATGATTTATGACACGATGATGATTTCCAAGGATGATAAGAATCCGAACGACCGACCGACCTTAGAGAATATGATGTGAGCCCATAAATTTCGTTTTTAGATGATGGTGCCATCATCGTCATACCGTGCAGCTATACGATAACAAAAACCACCAATTTAATACAACTACAACAAAAAAAACAACAACCAACCACAAGATAATCAAGAGTGAAATAATTGCAAATTAGAGAAGAAGAAAGAAGGAAATATTACAAGTTAATAGTTTTTATTATTTTGAAATAAAATGATAGACAAATACGATTTTTTATAAGGGAAATAAAGCATTGATTTCCTCTACCATATTTGTGGCATTGAAAGTATCTAAAGAACCAGGAATGCCAATTACTTCGTTTCGTCCCACGTCTCTTATAATCGTTTTTCCAAGAACTCGGTCGGAAAATCAGACATACCTAAAAAGTGGTATGTCGACGGTCCTTGCATGGAGGCTATGTCCAAATTTGGTCCTATAGTGAAATTAATCGTTTTCATCTTCCTATAGCCTCAAATACATAATTGCAGAAATTTTGGTTTAAATAGACGGCAAAGGACGGGTCTATTATATGATGTGGACTATGGCAAGACATGGACCTATATTAAACTTTTTGGCGAAAAATGTTTTTTTTTTTCGGCTAAACTTCCAATGTTTGTCCCAGTAAGCCGAAATTTAGAATACCATATCGTATTGAATCTCTAGTCTCTATGTTTCGTTAATATCCATTCAGATTTAGATATAGCTCCAAAACCCCTATGTTTCCTTCGATTTACTCGAAATTGGGCATACCATATTAGATTGAGTTTTCAATGATTCATTTCATTTAAGTCGTTTCAGATTTAGATACAGCTTCCATATATATGTTCGTCAGATTTTCTGTAAAAGTTGATCTAAACTCTCATGGATTTTTTAGATTTTTATTCCGACAATTTGTTTTTGACACTGAAAGGGTTAATATTTAGGGAATGAAATGGACCAAAAACTTTATATTTGTCTGATTTTTACACAATTTTTATTCTATAGCGTATATATTTATCCCTGAATGATATAGACCGGAGAAGTTGATAGTATATCCAAGAGGAGTGGTTGACCTTCAAATTGATACCATTATATCGTCGTATGTACTCGAATGTGGGAGGTACGCTTCAACATTTACAGGTCCTTTCGTATACATATATTATTTAGTAACCCATTACCACACTAGAGGGCGGAAATATAGCCCTGGTCGCTTGGAAAATTTCCATGAGGATCCAGGTATGGTCAAGGACAACGTCAATCATTTTCGGTGATAATCAGATAAAAATATTGGGATGAAGTAGAAATATTGGACACAAAGTTAGATTTTCGTGGAAGTTGTGTGGTCGGCCCGTCCGACTATACTGCTCCGCTCACTGGTTTTTTTTATTATATTTTTCCCCGTTATTTTTATTCGAAATGTTTGCTTCATTTCTTCGACACATGTTTTGTTTCTTATTTTTAATGTTTGGTAACTGACTTTTTTTCAAGCAAATATTTATTTTCTTTAATATTTTGTACTAAAAATATAGATATATCCGTAGTTTCTATTTTAGTATTAGTATTCACTTCCACTTGACGACATATTTGCACTTCAATAACAATTAGAAGTATGATCTCAATTTGCTCAAGTAATTGCAATTGGTTCGAACTCATTTTTATGCATACGAAATTGAGCAAAAGCTAACTCAACTTAGTGGAGAAATTTGGTATCCAATAAGAACCCATTGTACCAAATTTCAGCGAATTTGGTTGAAAAACGCCCTCAAGAACTCCAAAATACCGAAAATCTGAGCGGGTACACTTATATGGGGGCTACCTGAAAAAATTGACCTATATTTTTAATTTTTAGTGAAGAGATTTGTTATCCAATAAAAACTCAAAGTACCAAATTACAGCCCATTCGGTCGAAAAATGCGATAAACCCCCAAAATACTGTAAATTTGGAGGTACCGCTACCAGAAAAAGTAGACTTATATTTATATTTATTTTTAGTTGAGAAATTTGGTACCTCATAACAACTCAATGTACCAAATTTCAGCGAATTCTGTGAAATCTGTTGAAAAACACGCTCAAGATCCCCAAACGTGGACCGATATAGTCCATCGAACTTGACCTGCCTGCAGACAAAAGACGACTCTATGCAAAATTTTGGCGTTCTATCTCAATTCGTTTTGACGCTAGAGTGATTACAACAGACAGACGAACATGCTTAGATCGTCGTAGAATTTTACGGTGATCAATAATATGAGTTACAAACGAAATTAATATACCCTCCATACTATTGTGGAGGGTATAACAAAGGTTTTTGTTGTGATACATCACCTTTTTTATCTCTTTAAAAACTGGAAGCAGGTCCTCCTCCAGCTAGTCCACGTTCTATTGGAATAGAAGGTACATGACCATAAACCATGTGCGCGAGATAAACGAGATTTTCTTATATTTTTCGTTAGTTCGATAATAAAACATGTGGCAAGTTAAGCGAAAGCTTAACACAGCGCCATTTTGTACTTTTTTAAGCCCGTAGGCGTGATTAACTCTTTAAATGCGTCTTTCTTGTGAGTCGTCCGAAGACTAACTGATACATCACCTTATTATTGCATCATGGTTTCTACTTAAATACGACGTGCAATGTTCCCAAGCACGTAAAATCAAGTTTGCTTTCCAAATTCATTATTGAATAGACTTACATTATGAAAACGTAAACAACGTCGAAGTTTCTGACATTAGAATTCAGACAAAACAGTTGACTTTCGCATTCTGGGTGACTTAATAGATCTGGGTCAGCACCCTATGTATATACGTATACATACATACAAATGTTATAATTGGGAAAACTTCAATCTATATGTTCATAATATTTTTAGGAATTACTCTCTATTATGTCAGAAATGCCAAAAAACATTTGTTTAGGGATAACGTTTTATTTTGTTAATGTAAATTATCTCGATTTTATATAAGATTTCGAGCAAATCGAGATAACGAGTGGATTTAATTTGGTATGGTAAATCGAAGTAAATTCAGCTCAGTTTAGCAATTAAATCGAGATAATGCACATTATCACGATAAAAGCTGTAGTCTAAACGTGCCTTTAATGTTGGCATATTTAGCTGTCTTCACATTCACATTCTAGCCACTATTCACAAGTCAATGTTTTATTTCCCTTAGGTTATATTTACACCGAACGTTTTTTATGGAAACCGTTATTTATTGAATATATATAAATAAAGTGACATACAGATGACGTTTCATCTTATAATACGTTTGATGTAAGTGTATCATTAATTCATAGGAATTGTAAGGAAAATTCAAATTCCTCCAAAATAGCAGAGAACATAAAACAGGAATTAAATAGAAGGAACATGGAATTACTTTATTAAATCAATAAATAATAAAATAACAATAATAAAATACACACTAATGAAAAAATAGGATTAGACCATATAATGAATATTTTTTTTGTCATCTTTCTTCAAATATGGCAATAATAAATTTTTAATATTTTTTTAATATATTTCTATATTATTATCATCGGCCACTACATCATTTATCATCTGTCAATTAGGAACACAACATAAACATATGATGATAAAAGCAAATATTATATGAAAGTGAAAGAAAATGCTTTAAGATCGATTTTTAGAGGTTATGTTAAAATAGCATAAATTATACAAAAAATATATAAAAGCATTCCTATTTTTAATTTATTTTATTGTATTTTATAAATTTTATTTTATTATTTATTATTATTTTTTTTCATTTTGTGCAATTTGTTCCTTTTGTTTATATAAAAACTACCACATACATGTTTACAATAATAACTGAAAAAGACATAACACCATATAGCAATAAACAAACATATTTGTGTATAATTTATTATCAACTACAAAAAAAAAATCTACAAAATCCTTGACTATTTTACTGAAAATAATATTGAACAGAAATAAAAATTAATTACCTATAAAGTGGTTGTATGACAATGACAAATGAAACCCACAAAAGATTTTAATTTAAAAACATACAAATGAATACTACAATATTTACAAAATATATATATTTATGTATATATCTATATTATTATAATTAGTTGGAATTTTTTTATTATTAAAGAAAAAAAATACAATCCATTATTTTTTATAGTTTTTGTCCCATTTAGATATGGTCGACCCCGATAAATTTTAATTTAATTCAAAAAATGCCCTCTTCAAAAATTTCGAATAATAAATTAATTTTATTATTAATTATATTTTATAAAACAGTGGCAAGTTTATGACACTTTTTCTGGTTTTTATACCCTTCACCACACTGTGATACCCTGTACTTTTATGCATGTGTTTGTAACAGGCAAAAGGAAACGAGATAGACATATGGTTCGTTTTGATAATATGCATAGAATCACTTTTTAAGTCGATTTATGCATGTCCGTCCGTCTGTCCGTCCGTCCATGTATTTTTGCTAACAAAGAACAGTTCGCATTTGTGAACCGATTTGGATGA